AAGTCATGAGACAAGATGTGGATCTGATCTGTGGATCTGGGCTCAACAATCTCAGATTCCATTACTGTTGACATGGAGCTCAACAAATGAATTGATAAGGCCTCCAACACGTTGTCCAGGCTGACAAAGAGAGTATGGTCAAACAAGAAACTGGTGGTACACACGATAACACAGGTCTTCAAAGCCTACATCGTGAGCACCCTCCTGTATGGCAGTGAGTGCTGGACCCTTTGAGCCTGGCAGAGTGAAAGCTTAGACAAAATCCGATAGGAAATCGAGTACTTTCAGTTTTAAGTGGACAAAAATCTTGTACCAGAATAATTTAAGTATATTTCAGTCCTTTTTGCATATTCAAAAAGTTTATTTAAGATATAAGTAGTTGTCTGAAATAACACCAAAAACAATTTCCCATGGGAACTCGAGGAAATAAATTAAATGATTTTGAAGTTCAGAGAAATTGTATAAACACAGGTAAAATGTGACCCTCAATATGAAAGCACGTTATGAAACATGGCAATTTGTATAAAAGTGGGTTTCCAAAGGGTTTCTAAAGAGTTTGCAGAGGGTTTCCAAAGATTTTGCAAAGGGTTTCTAAAGAGTTTGGAAGGGGTTTCTAAAGAGTTTGCAAAGGGTTTCTAAAGGGTTTCTGAAGTGTTTTCAAAGGGTTTCAAACTTCTGAAACCGGGTTTCTAAAGAGTTTCCAAAGGGTTTTTAAAAGCATTTGCAGCAGGTTTAAAAAGAGTTATCAAAGGGTGTTTTACTGTTTTTAAGACAATCCAAATGGGTTTCCAATCCTATCATCAGTTTCATTTCACCAGTACTTTCAAGTGTTTTTTGTAGGAACTTCAAACTTTGTTTTTGATGTTTGATGTTGTTAAAAGTGATTTCTTTTGAGAAGACATTCAAAACAGTCACACTGAAGTTTGCAATACATTGTTTACAAATAATCTTGGTACAAAGTTTTTGTCCACTTGTTACTCGAACTTCTGGTGGATTCCCTCTTAATGCTTTCCACATGCGTTATGTATACTATATATGCTATAATATACTAAATATTACCTGGCAGGACAGGTATGCGCTGGCTGGGCCATGTACATGTACAGTATAGTGTACACGGATGATGGCTGCATCCCCAAGAATTACCCTAGAGGCAGGTCACAGCTACGTTTTAAGGACGTCTGCAAAAGGGACCTTAAGGCCCTGAGCATCAGTGCAGTGCAGAAAGGCCTCTCCAGCCTTGAAGCAATGCCTGCCCAGCAGTCCAAGGAGAAGAGGCAGAAAAGGAAAGGTCGAAGACAGGGAGGGAGACCACCACCAGTCTTTGTCTGCAGTTGCTGTGGGAAGGACTGCTATTCCTGCATTGGTTTGTCCAGCCACACATGGGGCTGTACCACAACCTCTATCCAAAGCACCACTCCATAGTCTCTAAGACTGACAGATGCCAATTATATACTTGTTTGTTAGATCATAAGAGCAGCTAAGAGGGCTTGTATTGTCTAGTCCTTTGAGCTGCTGTCATTCTTTTTTTGTTTTTTGCGTCAGATTGTTAGATATTATCATGCCTGCAATGAATAACACTTTTTTCCTTTTTGTTAGGTCCTCCATCTTTAGTGGTTGGTGAATCAGGGGGAGTCAAACTGTATTCTGTCACACAACATACTGGTACAGTACATAACTAGACTTTTTTTGCTTTAATTAAGTGCATTTTTACAGCTGGCAATGCTTTCATAGCTAAACCATGAGAAATAGAAATGTTTCAAAACATTAATGTTGTTGTTACGAATCCAGAGTACT